GGTGGGCGTGGCCAGTTGCGTGGGCGGCGGGGCGAGGTGTGTCTGAGGGCACGGCGAAGCGGCCGGTGCGGGCGGTCCCAGCCCGGCGTCGAGCGCAGCGCCGGAAGCCGCCGTCGCCGCTGCCTCTGCTGCGCGGGCAGCCGCAGCTGCGGCGCGCAGTCGCGCAGCGCGCTTCCTGCAGCATAGCAGCTCCGCCAGGAAGGCGATCGTCGCCAGGAAGAGCCCTGCGCCCAGCCCCTCCAGGAAGGGCACCACGTCGGGGAGGCTGAGTAACCTTTGGCCTTGATATTCGAACAACCAGTCGAAGTAGGAGTGGCCGCCGAACATGGTGATTAGTTCGACGTATTCCTTGCGCCAAAAATCTCGCAGCCCCATGGAATTCACTTGCAAGATGAATGTGTTGATTCTGTTCGTCCACGGCCAGTTGCTAGAGAAAAATAATTCAATGGTGGTTGGTATTAAATTCATGAATCTGAACATTTCATTTGCAAAAATGGGCGCTTTCAAGGAAAAAATGCTTTTAAACATTCACAATGGATGATAATGTGCGTTATGTAGTTTATATTTATGTGATTTATATATGACAAAGATAATCAATCTATTAGAAGAATGATGAGAAATCTCTTTTTGGGTGAGATAGAAAACCCCCAACCCTAGTCACCGCTCCTGCATTTTCCGCATGACTAATTACTAGAAATTATTTCGAAATGTTTACGAGCCTAGTGAAATATATCTTTGATGTCGTTTATTTATTCTTGAATTGATTGACAAGATATTATATATTTTGCGGTTTTCTACGCGAGTGGGCTAGCAGAGATTGCAAAAATGTTTTAGCGAAGAAGCACTTGATTCATCGGCTCAACATCAGATACGTGGACAACAATGTTACTTTGCGACAACTTGAAAATCCCTGCGCGTCAAACTCTGATAGAAAAACAAATGTGAAGGCAATGGGTACAAGCCAGGTTTCCTAAATGTAAAGAAGAAATTTCCGACGATCGAATCTATCTAATTAAATCACCTATTCGTAATTAAATTTTGCCATGTGAATATTGAATATCCCCCCCTTCGAACAATTTCAATTTGCTGTGATGATCTATACATTTTTTCCCTTTCGTTCTTTGAAATTCCATTGTCTTATCTAGTGACATGCAACTCCCCAAAATACAAAACTATCAAAGCATATTTATCTTCTTGAGCTCAACTTACCCTGCTGTAAGCCACGTGGAGAAAGCCTCTTGCAAACTCTCTCGCAAGACGTGCATCTTCCTTCCCAGAAACCTCTCCGTGTCTCGTTCTGGCCATTCACTGTCCCACAGAGCTAGCGCTGGCGGTACTTCTTGGAACATCATTTCTCGGATGGCGGTCGCATTGACTGGTCGAATAGTGAGGAAAACCCTGGACTGTGTGGGAACTTCAGGATGGAAGTCAGGAGCCAGGATAGGCTGACCTGATTCGATGAGTTGTTGAATTGTGTCAATTTGTCGGTAGCGACCAGGTCCTTTTCTTTGAAGATATCTGAATACTCCCTGTGAAAGACGAATTTCTTACGGAACAATTCTTTGAAAGTAATTTCTGTTAGTTTTGCTGCATACCAACAGAAATAAAAATCATATTATTAACTTTTTTAATAATGAAGTTAAATAGTAAAATTAAAATGCAATACAATTTAAGATACTACAAAAAATTCAATAATTACAGGGAAATATAAGATTAATAATATCAACAATATTACTAATATTATTAATAATACTATTTTTTACTATTCTCAATATTGTTACTAATTATTATTGTTATTGTTGTTATTTTTATTTGGTACCAATACAAAAGAGTGAGATCAGTCACTTGGCATAAATAAGTGACTGATAGTTGTTGGCTTCATACTTTAAGAATTTGTTGAGAGATTAATTTGTTTTGAAATTTCACAAACCGAACATATCTTCCCCACTCTTGCAGCTGATGAGAAAACAATGTCAAAAAACAAAAATGTTTAAAAGATCTTAAAACTTCGTTTTCCACTTTTATTGTCTTAAGTCAAACTTTCTGAAACTGAGATAAGTGTCGTAATGAGAATAATTAGTGCATGCATATTGTAATATCACTGGTCAACAGTGAAAATCTTTTCGGCTTGAAAATAGTCATTTATGTTTCACTTGATCATGGAAGAAAGAAAATGACTTTTAAAATGTGTAGTTAACTCTTGATTTTTACATACAGGTCATGAAAATTATGAAGAATTTTTAGGAAGTTTTACGTCTGGAGACCATGTTGACACATCGAGCACAGCAGTAATGGATTATACTCGTAGGTAATTTTTATTGTTTTGTATAGCTTGATGGCATGTCAAGAAAAGAGATGTGCAGTGTAGAGTACCACATTCCATTAGCCATTCGACCACATGAAGACGTTCTACCTATACCACTCTCTCCGGAAGAGTACATTCAACAGTCAGATGTTGACGAAAACTCTGGAGGGGAGAAATAACCTCATCTTTCAACTTCACAAGATGAACTACATTTCCTACATTCACAACAGGACTTCTCCCCCTTCCGGAAACTGGGTGACGAACATAGAGAGCGATTCCATCAGAACATTTTACAAATGGGACAAAGGTATAATAGGAAATAGAACACTGCTACGCTGGCGGACTACTGTTGGCCAGTGTCAAGAAAGGAGTATAAGCAACGAGCAAAGACAAGACATTCACGTGAATAAATCATTTTATTTGAGGATAGTTAATTTATAAAATCAGAGTTAGACGTACTACATAATATATTATGTCACATTCATTATTCTAATCCCTAAAGTATGGTACATTGACTATGTTTAGGAAATAAAAAAATTCGAAGTATATATTTAGTATTTCTACTTGAAATTAGTATATCTAAAAAAACTTCTTATAGCTAAAAAATGTACGTGACCTTATTGAGGCATGGAAAAATAACTAAAAGGAATTTAGAAGCAAAAAATGTAATCCCAAATAGCTCGCAAAATATAAGAAATTGAATGGAATGGATGGAGTTGAAACAGTCGCTGACGCCATTAACAACCCCAAGATAGCTGTACATTCTGCAAAAGGGAAGTTTAGGCAATAAGTGACATATATTAATAAAAAATATTATAAGGGCAAGTTAAGTTTATATATTAAGTTCTCATTAAGATTAAGAAAGAATTATTATGTGTATTTTGTTGGTAGGAATTTGATGACCATCAATAGAAACAATAGAAAAATACATTTTTGAACAAAATTAATTAAGAAGGAATTCGAAATGAATAAATAGTGTCAGCCGACATCCAATGTCACTGGCAAGTTATAAGCAAATTTTGTAGATTGTTTAATTTATTAGTAACAAAATTCCTTGACAATAATTAAATTGTTCACCACCCGAACCCCGAGTGGTATTTTCAGACCCGCGAGACAAGATAAAACCCTGAGAAGCATAAGTATGCTGACGCCCAGAAAATTAAATTAAAACCAGAGCTAGCCACTTCACTAATTACAAAGATAGATAAAATATTATAAATAGAAATTATTTTGAGTCACTTCAATCGTAGGCCCAATACGGGGCCGTAAGTAGTTGGAAAGTAAATAATATAGTGATAATTATACGTATTTAAAAGAAGTGGGTCATTCACTTCATTATTTAAAGATATAGATTTGAAGAATAAATTCATTGAAACAAATCTCTCTTAAATATCATAGCTGCAATGTTTAAATTTTAAAAATATTTCAGGATTAAGTATAAATGGAGTCTGTGCAAGTTTCATTAACGTACTTCACTCTGTATGAAACAGTTATAGAAAAAAATAGCAATATTTTAGAAAATTTTGAAAATGTCCTTGGGGCTTCTTTTAAGATCTAAAGAAAGGAAAAAATATACGTTTTAAAATCAAGAGTCCGCAACATTATCCAGTTCGATTAGAAAATATCACTCTCGATGAAAATTCTACCTACAATTATCCGCTTCTTTCTCTAATGGACGAACAGACAGACCAATTTTCGGTAACAAGGACCCACACAAAGTAGATTCTGATTGCATAAAATATTATCTTATAATTTACTTCTTACAAAAATAAGAATGATTGAGCTTTTCAGCATTAGAGTTCTAAAATGTGACTTTTTCCGCCAAAAATTAGTCGTTTATCGCTGCAGAATTACAAAATTTCTCTGTACTACATAAGTAATATGCAAGAAAGTAAAAAATTTGCTTCTTTTCTCTTTTAATCGTTGGTACACACTTCTTTATTCAAAATATGATTTGGCAACTCAATGGATTTGCTACAATGGTTTCATTTATGTAACTGATGACGATTCGTTCAGAGGCATAGATATGTATAACGTTAGGGACTTCGTGGGTGTACTAAAGTTACAATAAGCAAATTCAAATCCTAAAATATATATACGCTAAATAAGACGGCAGAGGTTTTTCTAAGCTCTATTTAGGTCATTCGCAACGTTCTATTATAGCCACTTAATGTCGTCGAACGTGTAGTGGAGTTTTCCTCTTTTAATCTAGTCAGCCATCGTCAGTCATAGTCCCTTCGGTCAGGGACTAGGTGCCGTGAGATCCCTGGTATTTCCAGGAGGTAACCTATCTAGTACTCCAAGATGTCTCGAATTGACTAACATTTCTGATCTCATGGAGCATACTTACGCAATTCGGCTAGCTACGCCGTACCGAATGGACAAAAGGCAAGCAGGCAACATTTTACATTTAATTATCAAGTGCGTTGAATGTAAAGACGGAGGGTGACGAAGTCGTCCTTTACCGCTCCCAGAGTCAACTCACTATTGCCACGACGTAGAGCAGCATGCTGACCACGACCAGCAGGGCGGAGGAGAGGCGGCGGCGCAGGCGGCGGCGGTGCGGGCGGCGGCGGCGGGCCGCCTCCGCGGGCGACCACTCGCGTTCCGTCTCCCGCCACGCCAGCACGAAGGCCGCCGCCGCCACCATGGCCGCCGCCCCCGCGTTGCCCCCGAACACGCTCGTCACGCGCGCCCACCCCGCCATCACGCCGGCTCGCGGCACCGCCAGCAGCCGCCGCGCCACGCCCCCCGCCGCCGGCATCATCTCCAGCGGCGCCAGCGACCGCTCAGTCAGGAGGATCGGCAGCGCCAGCAGCTGCACGCGCCCCTCGACGGCCATTTTGAGCAGCGAGGGCAGCGCCGAGCCTCCAGGCTGGAAAAGCAGTGGGGGAACTGCGCCATCTCTGCCGAGGCTCCGACTGCCCCATCAGGAGGATTCGCAGCGCTACAAGGCACGAATGCCCCACGATAGCCATCGCTAACAGTGAGAACAGCACTGAGCCTCTGCTCTCGAAGAATAATTGAGAATACACGACAGCAGAGCACCTTCTATGCAGAGGCTCCGACAGCCCAATCAGGCAACGCTAGAAGCCACGAATGCCCCACGATGGTTATTGGTAGCTGCGCGAGAACCGGTCTGGAAGATTAATTGAGAATACACGACAGTAGAGTACCACCTCAGCACTGACTTCGGCAGCTCAATCAGGAGGGTGACAGCGTTAGAAGCAGCCGTTCAAGCCGTAGCAGCAAAGATTATCCAAATCCTCCTCTCTAGAATTTGTTTAGACATAACATGTTAACATATCAGCAGAGACATCATTGTCTTTCAATCTATGAAGTTGTACTTCATCTACCTTCGAATGCTAGAATATGTTTTCAATGTAATATAATTTGTTATTTAATATAGGTTGGCGAATAGTAGAATTGAAGAGAATGTATCCCTATTTACGAATCATTCGACAAAAATCCACAAAGTTATCAGCCAAAATATTAAACTAAATTTTAGTTGGCTAGTTTCACAACGATATGAATGCAATAATACATAATTGTTTATTAAAACATTTCCGCAGGCAGCCATTGCATATGATCATTTTTGAAGTTTATTCGAGGACTATATAGTCTGATTAACTCTGTTTTTATGATCACAAATATATTTCGGAAATAATATATAGTATTTTTTGTCACATAACGTATATTTTAAAGATGTATTCCAATCTTGAAATTCATGGAACCTTGAGAAAGATTGGAGATGAAAATAAAATAATTGTCTAAATAGACAATTGGACCGAAGAGTATTAAAATATTCTTTCTCAGATTCTAAAACTATACGTATTCGCCACTCGCATGACACTATCGTAATCAACTTACGTGCTGAGGGGGGACGTGAACTTGTCGAAAGCGCATGTTCATGGCTTGCTGAATGTGTCGGAGCAGAATATAGTTGGGATCCCATCGCCAATGGCGCCTGCCGGGTCCCTCAGGAAGGGCAACCATCACCAATTCCCCGCTGGAATCTCTAGCGCACTTCTCTGCCGTTTTAAGGGCCGCCGACTCGCACATTCCATCGTATCGGCACCAGTCGTCGAACAGCGCGTCCTTGCAGTAGGCCTGGCCCCGAGTCTCGCCCGAGGCTTCCTGGTGCAGGGAGAGGCCTCGGAAGGACATGTGGATGTGCCGAAGGGCTCTGATGAGGAGCAAGTCGGCTTTCGGTTCTTGCTTTGCAGCCGTTCGGAGCGCCAACACCGACAGCACAGTCGGGGCGCCCGAATTCAGCATAAGTTGGCGCCGGTGACTTTCTCCAGTCATCCTCTGCTACCAAGAATATTGATTCATTAATTACTAGTGACTACTACTAGAATATATATGATCTAAAAATTGTCCAAATACGCAAAATAAAATACGATTTTATCTTGTGAAAATTGATAAATATGTGCTAAAATGCATAAAATAACGCCACTGCGCCAATAAACAGCACCACAACCAAGTGTGTTATTCGTGTTGTGGGCCTTGTGTCGTTCAATACTTCTAAAAAACCACATGAGTTACTTCGCTATAATTTACTTTAGAGTTAATATATTAAACTCTGCACATCAGTGTTCTAATATTGTACGAAATACGAAGTCTCATTTGTAACCTTTCATCTCATGACTCTGGAAAAAGGTTACATATGATTATGTACATAAATTAGTCAAAGATTTCGTAAACTATTGTCACAACATTTTGATTTCAATCTTCTATTATGTATACTCCTTGTATATTTGACTCACTCAAAATTCCGAAACTCACAAGATTAAGTATCTACACTGGTGAAACTAGGACTAATTTTAAAAGTTGTATCACACCAATTGGCAAGGTGATTTGAATATAGTTTTGTCTATTATAGTTTTGTCTAATTTTATGTTTTAGTATTAACATTTTTTCTATGAAAAGCTACTCATTAGTTTTTAAATTTTTAATAGTCTTTTACCACTCTGACCTCTAGATATGACATAATGTGTTGATTTGTTTTTATTTTAATATTTAATGATTTTACAAATTTAAATATTTCAATCTTAAAGATTGTAAAGACTTCTAAATTATTTTTAGAAACAAGTTTTGAACAAGTCTTCACAAGAGTCAAAACGCTAAAATAAAATAAATTTCAGAAAAATTGTATCAGTATGTCTGTTTAAAACAAAGATCAGAAGCTTCTGACATAAACAAAGGAAATAGCCATGACACTCTCGATTACCCGAGATTTTCGACAAATTATTTCAAGAATTTAGCGTATCAAAGATATATCTTCATTTTTAAATTTTATGTGACAGAAAATAAAAGTTTGTGGAACTCGTAATATACCCCAGAAGTGTTTTGTACTCCCTTATACTTTCCAGATTCAAGTTTTAGTTCAATGAACGTTTGTTTACCTTAAAATCATAATTGATTTTTGAAAGGGGTCTAAGGTTATTGTCGAAATGTGAAACGAAGGTTTCCTAAATCCCCTTCAATTAATGCAGTACTGCTAAATTTGCAAGAACTTTGGCCATTCTACATTTGACTATGCTCCACTCATCTTTCACTTGGAGACGATTTCGCCCGAGCGCCATCCCTCCCTCTAATTCTCCCCCTCTTCTGACGGGCTTAGGGCGCCTTCCCACGCTGCCACGGCAGCGCGCGTCCGTCAAGCGGTGGTGCCTTTCCCCGACCCTCTGGTGACGGCGAACAAAGGGACCGCAGCAGGTAAAACGTTGCGACCGGCGACCGCAGTAGGAAGGCTACCATTTAAAGCTGTGTTCTGCTAGCGGTGGCGCGTACGCCCTCCTCCGCTTCGCGTAGCGAGAAACTTGACGGACGCGCGCTGCCGTGGCCGCGTGGGAAGGCGCCCTTAACAAGCAGCAGGCTCCCTGGTTGCTGACCGCAAGGGAGTAGTAGCTGCTCTTATTGGTAGATTTCCGGCGTTATTTCAATCAATACCAGGCGAATGCCGGAGCAGTATCCAAACGGGCCAGGGACCGCGCGCCATCTTTGCTTCCTTGCTTCTTTGTCATATCCTCTTTCATTACTTTCTCAAACGTATTTCACTTTCATTGTTAAATTATCCCATTAAATTTAAATATAGTTAAATACAAGTACATTCATTTTTTTCAATTACTCCATTTGCACAACGTTTCAATGAACATTCCTCGTTGTTTTCAAGCATTGAAAATAATTATTATAAACATTTAACTGAATATGTTGTAATTTTATATGTAATCATTTGTTCATTTTTTTAGCTTACCTAGAGCAACTTTTTAATTCCAATTATACACATCCAGCATCACATCAAGAAGCTACTCTAGGTAAGCTAAAAATAATTTGAACAAATAAGTAAATAGAAAATTGTAACGTATTCGGTTAAATGTTTATTTTTATTTTCAGTAGTTGAAAATGACGAAAAATGTTTGTTGAAACGTTGTACAATTGGAGTAATTGATAAAAAAATTATTTAACTGTCTTTACATCGAAAGAGATAATTTAATGATAAAAGAAATTTATTACAGAGTTACAACTAACAGTCAATCAACGTAATTTCACTTACATTCTTTACAATGCCATACATGCCGGGAGACCAAGGCTGATTTTAGTTGGGTTGTTGGGGGAGATACCAGGAGAGAATATCCCTCACACGTCGATCTGTACTTTGGCACCAGTTAGCAGCAAGGGTCAAGCTAGGGAAGGTCACCCCACCTCCAGGGGCAATAGCGTTATCTTAACTAATGGGGCTAATTACCACAACCGGGCAGCTGACGAATCTACTAACATCAATCAATCGATACGCGAATCAAAACCTCAATCGAGACATCAATCAATAAATTGAGACATCAATCAAGACATCAATCAATAAATTGAGACATCAATCAAGACACGCATCAATCGAGCAATGCATCGATCAAGCAATACATCGATCAAGCAATACATCAATCAAGAAACGCATTGATCGAGTGATGCATTGACCAAGCAATGCGCCAATCAAGCAATGCGTCAATCAAGCAATGCATTGATCAAGCAAACCACCAACCAATCAAAGCACCAATCAATCTGGTGCTCCGCTACCGACCGCGATGTTGTGATCCACGACGGCGTTGGCGGTGTCGCGCACGAGAAACTTCTGCAGGCGGCGTGCGCTGAGCGCCGCCAGCACGTAGCCGGCCTGGTGCTCGAGCCAGGCGGGCGGCACGCCGGGGCGCTGCGAGGCGTCGCCGGCGCTCCACAGCAGCACGGGCGCTCGGGCGCTCGAGTGCAGCGCCCGCAGCCAGCGCGGCGCGTCGCCCAGGTCCACCACCGCCACGGCCCCGCCGGCCACGCCCCCGCCGGACACGCCCCGCTGCGCCCAGCGCACGCCGTCCCGCAGCGGCGCCGGGAGCCGCCGCAGGGGCGCCAACACAACGGACCTTGAAACACGGCGCCGTGGACAAGGTAGCATCTAGACTTCTTGGTTGCCAGGGTGATTCCGCGTCGTTGGCTGAGAGGCCGACGCCTGTCATGTTGGAGGCTTCCTAAGGGAAGTGACCGTCACCCGGACAGCCAAGAAGTCATAAACTCGAGCCGCGGAAGCTTAAGTTTACAAATGTAGCATATATTTCTCTTCGGGTTTTTCATGGTATGCTACTTTTGGTAATTTACGTAAGCACCAATATGGTGCGGAACGATTGTTTGGCTCCAGCCAGTCAACGAGCTAGAGCGCTTAAGTGTTCACTGGCAAGCAGAACCAATACAACCAGATAGGGGCCAGTAGTCATCAGTACATTACAAGTCCAGACAGTGACATTGCGAAGTATACAGTGCATAATGGGCCAAAAGGTACTGTGCTGTTTTGGTAAATTTCCCGATTCTCTCTTTTTAATTTTGGAACAGTTGGAACTGACATGCCGAATTAGCTGGTCGATGACCAGCAGGGCTAATACAACCAGAGAGTAACCAGTGGTCATCAAGGAGTTCTCCAGATTACCCCCTCTAAAGACTGTGTTTTTCCAATAATCCTTTTATCCTAGATAACGAACCCAGAAATATCTCGAATATTTTACGTACTGTGGCTACGCCATCGTCCCTCCAAATGCATTTCATATCCTCGTATACAGGGCCTTTGGGCACAATTTTGTCACGTCTTACGACAGCTCCACCACCGGAGGAACCAGTGTTTATTTTATGTCCGGAATAAATGTATGTACTTGTAACGAGCGTTGTCCTAATTATCCAAAAAAAAAACTCCCTCTCTGACACTATCCTACTCTCACATCTGCACTCTTCGACTTTATCCTATACTGTCATCACTCTCCCCTCTGTGTCCCATTATTTCGCTTCTCTCTCCCATTATCTCTCTTCCATACTCTGTCTTCCATACTCTGTCTTCCATACTCTGTCTTCCATA